CACGCACACGCAACACATTCACATTCAACACATGCACGCTCACACCTACACACGCACACACGCACAGTCACACACGTAGTCACGTACGCTCGCACACACACGCACGCTCTCACACACACGCACGCACACACACGCACGCCACGCACACACGCAGACAAGTCACACTACACACGCACAACAACGACAACAGTAAAAGTAGTCACGTACGCTCGCAACAGCACGCTATCACACACACGCAGCTCTAAACACACGCACGCACACACACGCACGAAGCTCACACTACACACGAACAGCGCACAGTCCACACGTAGTCACGTACGCTGCACAACAGCACGCTTCACGACAAAGACGCACACACACGCACGCACACCGCGGTCCTTGCCGCTGCAAATACACGCGCTCGCGTGATCCTCTGTCTACCACAGAATACTCCCGCATCGTTCCCACATAGACCGATGCAGAAATGCCTTTAACGTAGACAGACACATAGACAGATGCGTTTAATCGAATCGAGTATTTTTTTAATTAAGCGACCAACATGATGGTATACCGTGGAGCGTGGAAGCGGGCGACACACACGCGTCATGTCATGTCATATACAGATATAACTCCACCGGCGATGTGGCATCAGTTGCATGCGGTCGTGGACATTTATGGGGGGAGAAGTGGGATGCGTACTTACGCCTATATATCTGACTTCATACTTAAGTAGAGTGGGTCTGCGAATGATTTCTGACCTATAGAACCTCCCATCATCCTCTCAGCACTGCCCAACCTCCCACCCTCCCTGTACCCTTCAGCGACATACATATAGGCTATACTACGCCCCGCCCTGCCAATGCAACGTGTGCTCTCTCTCTCTCCTCTCTCTCTCTCTCTTCTCTCTCTCTCTTCTCTCTCTCTTCTCTCTCTCTCTTCTCTCTCTCTTCTCTTCTCTTTCTTCCTCTCTCGTTGTCCATCTATTCTCTCTCTCCTCTCTCGTCTGCTCTCTCTCTCTCTCTCTTCTCTCTCTCTCTTCTCTCTCTTTCTTTCTCTCTCTCTCTCTTCTCTTCTCTCTCTTCTATCTCTCTCTTTCTCTCTCTCTCTCTCTTCTCTCTCTCAAGATCACCTTATTACCCCCGCTTACACGCACGCCGAGCGTTGAAGCACACAGAAGCGGACGCGCGGCGCTGAGATGATCCCAAGTCACCACAACCCGCGAGGATAAAGAAGTGAAAGGCAACATACAGCGAAAGGCGCTTAGATCACTTCAGTGAGGCGGGCGCGCAGTGGTGGCGGCGGCGGCGGTGGTGGGCAGTGCGAATGGACGCCCGCGGACGGTCGGCAACAATATCAGTACAGCGTCCCGGATACACGTGTTGATCGGCGTATTCTGCTTGACGGCCGTCTGGTTTACTCAGTATATAGACGTTACTTTACACGTATATCAGACGGGCGCGCCGCAACCCGACACGCCGATACCGACCCACACGGCCGGTTGGTGTCGTCCGGTCTGTCGTCGTCGTCGTCGTCGTCGCTCGTCGAGCGTGTCTTAGAGGGGCACTGCACGATATATTTACGTTATCGACTGGTTGAGGAACGATGAAACTCATGGCGAGGTGCGTTTGCTCGCGCGTGGCTATATGTAAACTTCACTCCCCTGCTTCACGCCCGACAGGCAGGCAGGCAGATATAGGACGCAGACGGGCAGGCGTGAACAGATATGCTGGCCGTGAAGTTGGCTGCGACAGCCTATTGCTTACTGCAATCATGCCTCTAGCAACCACGAATTTGGCGACTTGTCTGGCCGCTGCTGCCGCAATCAGGTTACATCAGTGCGATTGGTGCGCGATCACGGGAGCACCGTCAGGGCGTTTGGTGATCCGGGAAACATTGAGATGATTGTATTGACGTCTGAGCGCACACTACGGTACGGAATTTGTTTGTTATTACCGCACGCGGACCACGCCACAAACATCAACGGAGTGTCATCGTTAAGTCTGTTACCAGACCTCGTCTCACGTACCTCCGTTTCTCTCGGTATCATTCTCTCTCGTCTCTCGGTCTTTCTACTCATAACAGTTAGTTCTTCAGTAATCTTGCGCGGAGACTTTTACATGTGATTATCGTGTCGCACTGTTGTGTAGAAATATGTGCGGCCATTTCTTAACCCTTTCTTATCTGTATGGGGGGATTATTTTGAATCGTTCGCAGTGTAATGTTCGGCATGAACCCGTATTTCCGCGAACCCCCCCCCTATCCCGCCACACACTATAGCGGATATAAACTCAGGTAGAGCCCGGCTTTTAAATGCAAATTCCGCACTTCCAGTATGCACAATTTACTCATTGTGCTTGCATGTTTGGAAAAGGCACCGTTTGAAAATGTATATGTATATATAATAACAACCACTGTGAGACTTGCATATGATATGACTATATTTCACTTTATAAGCCTCATAGGTACTGTACGCCATCAATTTTACATTTTACAAAGAGAGACCCGCCTCAACTAACGACGCGCTGCCAGGCGGCTAAGAGAACAGTTGTGAGTTGTGTGAATTATTTAGATTGAAAATAATATCTGAACTTTCTAACTAAGCTAGTTTGGCTTGTTGAACGAACACAAATCCATACACTCGTGTTTCTAAGGTTTACAATACAAGTTTTACTTAAATGATGTTCACAGGAAACCAATGCGTATACATATCATATGAAAACGATTACAAGTGTAAACTAGATTATTTACACAAGGACAAATGCATTGAGGATTTGTTATATTCAATTTCAACGATCATGCAAAGCATGTATAATTTCTTACAGCTGTTTCATTCGTACTGAATTTCGGTCATCAATGTAAAGGCACGCTAAAATGATTATTATCGGCTTATTACTAACCTCATGGCAGGTGATAACTGGATGCAATAAAGTTATAGAAGCACAGGGCGACTTGACTGTGGGTGATCTTTAGAGGTGCCATAGCGAGGCAATGCTCTGATATCGCCATCCAAACAATGGACCGAAGCTATCTGTTAATAGGAACTCGAGGTCATGGCAGTACAGATTGCATGATCAATTGCACACCTGGAAAGATAACATGCGCTAATGAAATTGGCAATGGCAGGTGGTTCACAGTAGTCAATATAGCAGCAAGCTTTGAAATTTTTTCGACATATAAACGCATAATTAATATCCTATCTGCTGGTTTTCTTCAGAGTGTCATGTGTGCTACAAGTATAAGAGATGTAGACACTACAGATACCTCAAAATCCTGGTTGATTCTTGCGTAACGGTGTTTTGCTGATACTTTACTAATTGTGGTTGTTGCTTGGCTGCTAACCAAGGAGAACTATATTATAAATTATAATTTCCCAAGAAACATGCTTTGAGTTACCGTGGTAATCCAGCAATTGTTCAAATGTTAAATGGTTCACTTTATACATGTTGCATTTGTGGAAATGAGAATACGAGTACATAGAACATTGTGAATTTCTCATACGTCTGTCTATGTGTACATCACCATCAGATACCTGCGACTGTTCAACTCCGTTAAACTCGTTTGCCATCTGCTGTTAACTTCGCCACTGTATATTCATTGACGTTCACCATTCCTAAATGGATGCAGCACAAAATATGTCTAACATGTGTTTAACAGCAGACAACGAAAATTAATACAACTTTGATATGTATGAGTTACTGGATGTGATGATTGTTCCAAGAGTACATCTTCAACTTTCTGTTCATCACACATACACTAACCATTAAATGTACAAACAAAAGATGTTTCGCCCACTACGTTATTGTAGTTCACGCTGTATTTACACAACTGCCTGTGAAAATCCTTCACACTTCTGCGTTGAGGCCTAGATAGCTGCATGTATCTGCGTATGGCTGAATTAACACGGCAAGAGCGAGATAGACGTTAGCTGCTGAAAATCGGAATCGGTCCGTTGACAGTGTCAGCCATTTTCGATGCAGCGTCTAGCCTGCCAAGTAAGACGAGTGTTGCAGCGCAGCCGTGCCGTCACGGTACGACCGGTGTCATGATGCTTCGCTGCAGCAGTTACTTACCGTGCTATATGTAGCATGCACTCGTGTAGTCGTGCTGGGACAGAATCAGACTGCTCTCTAGGTCGATGGCCGGCATCTTTTCATTGCATCATGTCTCCCAAATGCAGGCAGCCTGCATAGTTCCTCTCGGCAGCGAAGATCGACGGTGATCGTGTCAGGCAGCTATGTGGCGTCTGGATTGCGTACAAGCAAGAATATTGAGGAAGCCGTGTTACAAAGGCTCTTATCGCCACATGATTTGCCTTAATGAGGATTACGGACGAAGCGATTCAAGGGGAGCCCGACAGTCTACATCGATTAGATCAAGCACCATGTGACAGATTAGACAATAACATGTGAAGAACAAACCGTCGAATGACGCGATGCTTTTGTCTCCAATGCAGGGTGCATGCATGTTGTCTAGAATATTCTCATAGCAGTTCATCGGAAACCGGTGCAGATTCCGGCGGGCACAACGATGTTCAGTTTACTTTGCCTCGTATCTCTCCACGGGTGTCATTCTTGAAGTCCACTGATGTGCCAGCATTACACCATAGTTAAACACACCGCAAACAGTAATGGTTTGATCATGTTTAAATGCAGGTTTGAGGTTTTACACATACGGCTGGACTATGCTGCATCTTTAGAAAGAGCGTAGTAAGGGTGTATGTGTTTATACGTGACACTATTAATAACTTGCAATTTACTGCTATTGTAACCAAAACACGCAAAGCTGTCAATTAGGCAACAGCGTGTTCATCCTCACAGCACTCCCTGCCAACATCTGCTTGTTACCAGCACTGCCACCCTCCACCTCTACATCCACAGTAAGGATGCCACGTACCCGAGTAACTGATGCCAGCAATGCTACCCTCCACCTCTACATCCACAGTAAGGATGCCACGTACCCGAGTAACTGATGCCAGCAATGCTACCCTCCACCTCTACATCCACAGTAAGGATGCCACGTACCCGAGTAACTGATGCCAGCGATGCTGAGGAATAGATCCTGTTCGTTGAAGCACTCCGGCAGCATAAGGAGGGCAGTGTGGACGGCGCTCTGTAGGTTTACGTGGACGGCAGTGTTTACCTTGTTCAGCCGTGTGTCCTTCAACCACAGCACCTACAAAACACCAGCAGCTGTGAATAATGATGAAGACAACAAGATGATTTACTATATCAACTCCTAAACTATATGAATAGCAAACAAAATTAATAATTATAATTTACTTGATAGAGGAGCATCAGCCACGATATGGCTGGAGAGCAAATCACTCGATCTCATTTCGTATTACAATGATAATAACTTAATAAGCAATTATATGCATGTGTTATAGCCAATAATTTAATTAAACAACATAAAATAATATGAAGCCTGCCACCAATGTAAAGAGTGACTTTACTTACTGGTTTATGAAGCCTGCCACTAATGTAAAGAGTGACTTTACTTACTGGTTTATGGATGCTAAGGCGAATGTACTGTGTCCGATGTTGAAGGCTCAAGTTGGATGATTACGCGGTAGTAAAATCGTAGGTATTGATACAAGGCCAGTAAAATGAGCGGAAATTTTCCCTTGTTTATTGATGTCACAACCACTTCCGTAATAATCGTACTGCGCTGATGTAAATTAAAATATATCAATCAATACATGACATTAGAACTCCCGCCGGATATTCGCCTAGGTCAGGAATGAGCCGCTCTAGATAAGTAGCGCATCAATAGGTTCTATGTCGCCACCCAGGGTTAACTGAGCCGGGAAACGTACCTGCGGTAGCGGTCCGGTAAACCAGATCACGTAACGCCATGTCACTATTTGATAAGGTGGTTAGGGTTAGGATTTAGGGTTAGGGGTTTGTTAAGAGTTTCGGCGTTAGGGTTAAGGAGTTACGGGAAGTAGGGCGATAGGCGACTCCATATGATGCTCCGTTAGTGGAGTAAGGCGAGGTACGTTAGGTCCGGCATATTCAGATAAGGTACCAGGGTAGCGGTTGTCAGTTTTTCAAACAAGCCTCATAATATATTTTCTGTGGAATTTTCCAAACGTCAATTGCATTCCATGGTTCAAGTCTTGAATCAAATTGAGTAATCTAACTGCTAATTAGCGGAGTGCTAGACTCGAAAGACTGTATAGCGTCCAATCTCGGCCCTCCTCCTGTACTTATTTTAAAAACTTGTTTATGTTGCGTAATGTGAAAAGATGTAATATAACTTGAATAGCAGGTAAATAAATTTTAAATCTATAAAAGAAATAAAAATAAATCTACGTTTCGCGGTATAGAGCCGGACGCCGTCAACCCAGGGGTAACGTTCCGGGCAGTACGCCCTGGGGGAACATAAGACCGCTATCAGCACTAGTAGATAACCATAGTATAGGCCGCGTACAGGTTGCCAGACGATGGCGGCCATAACGTATCGCGGCGCTAGTATGATGGGTACACTCTTGAGAGCTGAGTAGGCATGGAACTGACAGTGTCGAGTAGCATACCTTAATGTTAGCATGACCTGTTTGCTGAAAAACTCCTGATCCATATGCAAATGCTAAATCGTACTGCTTTGGGGAAAATTTGTACGAATCAATCCAGGCTTAAAATACTGGGCAAAGCCACATTTGGCTCAATGTGACTTAAGCAACACCTGACTGCATAATCTTGAACGCGACCACGAGGGCACACCATAGTACACCAACCTCGACTAGCTGCAAGCCTCGTACACATGGTAGCAGCCTCATTACACACATAATATAGCAATGTGCGCATATGAAATTATTACTCTACGCGATAGATGCGCGAAGGATCGTCAATATTTGATCAAAATCGGCAACTACATTATTGAAATACAATACATCGAAAGTGTAGGATAGGAAATTTCAGCCGGGGCCAAACCTTAACCAAATCCCTCCTATCCAGTAAATGTTACGTTCTGTATAAGGTAGCCAGTAATTATAATTAATGTCCAGCTACCCCGTTGTTACGCCAAGATTTAATACCCATTTAATAATGCGTTGTGACCGGTTACAACACAACATACAATCGTGGCGTACATGAATTAATTTCTGCCCGATAGATGTGCCGCGAGGATGTCAATATTTGATCAAAAGGTCGCAAAGCTACATTATTGAAAATACCATACAATGCGAAGTGTAGGGATAATGGAAGGTTTCACAGCGGCCACAACGCCTTTACCAATGCTTAACGTCCAGTAAATGTTGTTCGTTATCAGGTACAGGAGTAAGATTATATTTAATTCCAACTTTAACGTTTTTAGAATATTACTAATACATTTAATAAATGCGTTTGACGTTAACACAGCCAACAATACAATGGCGTACAATGATTATTTCTCTCCGATAGGATGGCGCGAAGGATGTCATACCTTGATCAAAATACGGGACCTTGCTAAACATGTTATTGACCAGAGAGGGAGTACAGGGGGCCGTGGTAACGGGAGAAGGGGGCGGAGCCGGTGAGAAAAATGGGGCGGGAGCAGAAGGGGGCGGGGAGACCAGGAGAAAAGGGGGCGGGGAGCAAAGTTGGAAGGAGCGGGGGAGTAGCGGAGCCCAAGTGGGCCGGAGGGATGTGTCCAAGTCCAACACTATTAGAAGGCCTATGTTGTACGCGCTGAAAGTAGAGAGAGAGAGAGAGAGAGAGAAG